GCTTCTTCGATGTATGTGCAAACCCCTGTGCCATCGACTTCTGACCAGCCTTGAGCTCGACGAACTCAGTGTGTGCTGCCTGGAGGGCATTGAAGATGGACATCGGAAGGTCTTCGAAATTGACCTCTACCCGGAGGGCCGAGTTGAAACGACCGAAGCGGTGGTTCGTGATGTCATCCGCCTCAACATTCTCCTCCCGGACGCCACTGGAGCTTGATGCGCCCCCCGCATGTGGCCATGTGGGAGGAGAACTGCATGAGTATACCCATCAGTGGCCATTTCATAGATGAACCCTTCTCAAGCGCCTGGGGGTTGGAGCGATTGTCCGTTCCAGCCGTGACCACTGCAGGGAAGACACTTTCCCTCACACATAAGTCCGGGCCAAGGCGATACAAGCCATATATGTTGCCACAAGCTCTGCACTTGATGATGCCCATTGGGATGCGCCGTCTTCTTTGAACAACCATGGAGCCTGCGCCGGAATCAAATCCACACAGAACCATTTGGCACAAGACGGATCAGCGTCAACCCCTAAGAGCCACCCTCCTAGAACAACCCGCCCCTGCTCACACTTGGCATCAGTCCTGAAGGCCTGCTTGAGGGACGTAGGCTTTGACGGGGCCGGCGCAAGGCGATGACCTTCCTCCAACTGTGCACGGATGTAGATCAAGGACAAATGCACTAAGACAGGCATGCGGCAAGCTGTGCCCCTGGCAAGGACAGAAGTCCATGAGTGCAAAGGCGCAAGGAATGGCTTTAACCAAGTGAGGACGCGGGCAACAAAAGTGAGCCGGCCAGTGAGCTCAATCACAGTCCGTCCAACGACAACCCACTTTGCTTCTTCAGCATTATTAACCCATGAGATGACCCAGCGCGCACGTGAGTCGGAAACGCCTGCGCTCCAAGAGGAGTAAGACACATGATAACCGATGTAATCGACCTCAAGTCCACCCTTAAACTTATGGTAGGCAAAAGGCGTCCCCACGACCTCGTACGCAGCAAGGATCATCCAGAGAGTCAAGAATTTGTCGGGCCCAGCAGTGAGGAGATGCAAATCGTCAACGTAGAGCAATTGCAAGTTCCATAAGGTGAGCATTGTTCGCAGCACCCACCGGCCAACAAGGCTAAAGAGACGAGCCCACCAGAAGGCCGCAGAAGATACGCCAAAAGTACCTACCCGGTTAAGCCAAATGGTCCGAGAGCCGGACGTAGATCGGCAAGCCAGCTTCGGCCAATCAGCCCTACGCACTTTTACGCGCCGGTGCGCCTGGGAGATGT